TGTGCTCGTCGAGGAGACTGTTGATCCCAGCAAGGTGAAGGTCTACGGACCGGGCATCGAGCACGGCCAGGTGCGCGAGAGTGTGCCAACGGTGTTCAATGTGGATGTAGGCGAGGCTGGTCCTGGCCGCATTGCTGTCAAGCTGACCAACTCCGAGGGCATACCCGTTGACAATCTGAGTGTCGAGGACAAGGGCAATTGCATTTATGCGGTTCACTATGTGCCGCCCAAGGCCGGTTCCGTGCTCACCTGCCAGGTGAAGTTTGCCGACGAAGAAGTGCCATGCAGGTGAGTGCCTTGATCTTCTACTGCCTGCTAAGCGGTCTGCTCAAATGCTTTGCTTGCAGTCCGTTTGTGATGACCGTTTTCCCCAAGTCCGAGGCGACCAAGGTCACGGTGAAGGGCGTCAACGAAAAGAAGAAGACGCCCGCCTCATTGCCCGCCGAATTCGAGATTGATACGAAGCAAGCCGGCCAGGCGGACATCAATGTGGCCATCAAGAATCCCAAGGGCAAGCGCATGCAGCCACGCCTAGAGGAGGTCGCCACTGGCACCTATGTGGTCTCCTTTGTGCCCGATGAGTGCGGGACGTATCAATGCAGCATCAAGTACGGCGACAAGGAGATCGAAGGCTCGCCCTTCAAACTCGAAGCATTCCCCACCGGCGAGGCCAAGAAATGTAAGCTTGTCGAGGAGGCGCCCAAGATACAGCCATCCGGTAGTCAGTCGCATCTGAAGGTGGATGCACGCGAGGCGGGCAATGGTGCTGTCACATGCAAGATAACCAATAAGGAAGGCAGGTTAGTAAATTGGAATGGAACGCCATCTAGCGGATGGTAGTAACACCATTTTTTCCTGCAGTGAAATCGTAGACATTGATGTTATCGAGAAGGATGGCTTCTTTGACATACTGTATGGCCTGAACGATCCCGGAGACTACGATATCAATGTCAAGTTCGGAGGCAAGGATATACCCAATGGCAGCTTCTCCATTAAGGTAGTCTGAAACAAAAAGAACTACAGTCGAATCTAGTCACAAATTGATTTGTTGAAAGCGAACAAAATTAGCAATTATTATCATAATCTATTTATCTCAATCTAGTCACATAAGCAACAAGAACAACAAGAGAATACTCTACACGTACATAAAAACTCTAGTCGAATCCACAGTCATTTTGGGTGTTTGTGTTTTTTGTGCTTTTCTCAATGTTAATGTCAAATTGTTTTCGTAAAAATATGAAAAAAATTAATTCAAATTCGAAACACGCAAACAATTTACCATATGTACGTATGAATATATATCTATATATGCATATATTCAGCATATGTATATAAAGTATATGTCTAGCAATGAAGACCCAGCAATAAAACAAAGAGAATACAATTTAAGTGCAACATTGTAAAACATGACAACAAAATAAATGAAAACAACAACAAAATCAACGTTTTGTATAAAAAAAAAGACAAATATTTCGAAAATTTTCGAATTGCATGCGAATGTTAAACGTTTTCAAAATTTGATTTCAACCAAAACCAAAACAAAAATGCTCTGCTCTGCTAAATTACAATATGCGCTTTATTTGATTCAATTGTTTTAATGCTTAATTAGTTTACAAATTACTATGCGTAAGTTGTTTGTGTGTGTTTGTAATTTGCCAATTGTTAACTGCCACTGTAAGCCATAGACATGCATGTATATATATATATATATATATATATATATATATATATATATATATTTAAATAAATATATATAAATGTTTCTCTTATATATCATCAAGCGAAAGCCAAAACAAAACCCATACACACCTGACTTGGTTGCGCTCAATTTTCGTTGCTTCAGCACATTGCCAAAAATGAACCTAATTTAATAACTTATAATAATTGCTAATTTAACAACAAATTTGATTTGAATTTTATTTTATATTATCTAACACAAACGTATATTTTGAAAAAATATTTTTATCCTTATAATTTATAGATATTGATTTTTTAAACTTAATTTAAACATTTTTATCTAACTCGATACGTATACTTTGCACTATATGATAGATATTTTCTTTTTATTTTTTTATGTCTGCCTCGTTGAGGTGCTATAGATATATATATATATAGCGTATGAGGTTAATATCCCTAGCGTTATAGTCATATATGTCTGTCTGGCTTTTTATAAATGCGTATGTCATACATGCATATGTATTAGTGTACTTGTTTCTTATACTAAGGTATACATATTTATGTATGTATGCTGGTAGAATCGCAGCACTATATCTTCGATCTATTTATGCTGCCAACCGCAAAACTGAAACTTCTGCTAGATAAATCGTTTTTATTTAAGTTTTATTATGAAAAGCAAAAATGTATTGATTCAACCATCAATTTCAATCTCAATCTTTACTTAATCTGATGTCAATTTAATCTCAATCTGAACTATATGGAATCAAACTTTCAAATTTTGAATGGTATTAATTTTTGTTTCCATATTCTTTAAATAATAATAGGGATCTTCTGCATGCTGTAGATTTTTGTATTATTTCTGGTTTTCAGCTATATATGATTATGTTGTAAGTACACATGCTGACATGTTGACAAATGAATTGTCAAGATAAACGGCAAAGGCGACTAGATTATAAGCACTGTCAGCCACAGCAAGAAATCACACATATATTCCGACTCAGACATATATATACTATATATAGAATTTTTTTTTTTCGTATAGCAAGTTTCATTTGCGGGCATTCTGCCCAGTACAAAATAATTATTTGATTGAAACTAAGATTAATTATCATTAGTTTTGATTAATAATGTTTAGTTGAGCATTAAACATGAACATATTATGTGAAAGTCTAAGAATCAACCCATCGGCTCTTTATACTTGAGTTTAATGTCTTTATTTGCATAGCCCTGCATAAAATCAAGAAGTTCATTGCTTTGATCTACTTTGTCTACGTGACATTTATCACATTGGCCCTATTTTTGTTTCAAGTTTTTTAAGAGTGCTATAAAATGTTGAAATGGTTTTTAAGTTTCAATATGTCTTTGCTGAATAGGTAATTACAGCTATTTTTAATGCAAAAATTTTCCAGCTGTTGATGATTATGATCTATAAAAGCTGCTAGAGTATTACGAAAATTTCGATTTGATCATATGCAGACTTATGTTGTGGATAGATCCAAATATAATTGGTTAGCAAGGAACAGGCTTTCAAATTAAAGTTAACTGATATATGGAGAATCTCTGTTTTGTTTTTGCTTTTTTTTTTTTTTTCTATCATAATTCCAATGCTGCCTTTTTTGTTTAGCTATGCATACATAAAATATTCTATATGAAATATACTTTGTAAATTGATGCCAATGGTAGTCCATTGGTAGTCCGCAAGATCATACAAAATGTAAATGATGTGGAACATAAATTAACACATTGTTTACAGTCCAACTGAATTACATTGAATTAATAATTAACAATATTTACAAAGCTAAATTTAACTAAAACAAAAAACAACAAAAACGAAAAAAATGAATATAAAATTTTGTAGCTGTAAAAATTTTTGAAATTAGTTTTACACAGACAAACACAAAATTTTGAATATACATAAAAACTATAAATGTGTGAAATGCAACTATATATAAGATTCTGCTGAATTATAAATTGAAAGAAATATATAAATATACACATATATATATATATATGTATATTAGAAATGGTGTTAAGAGCAGTGCTAAGAAGCTAAATGAAGAGGCCGGTGAATCACAGATGTTGTTGTAGTTGTTGCTTGCAACCGCGTGGTCACCACGAAATATCAAGTATACGCCGCCCATAACAGCGTCTGTTCGTGCAATTCATGTGCTGCAACTAAAATTTGCAAGTAATTAAAATAAGCACATAAAATTTACACACACACAAGGTCTGTGTGTGCTGAATTTGTTGTGGAAACTATTAAAGATTGGCAAGAGGCGACAGAAGAAGAAGAAGCAGAAGCAGGCGACTGAGCGAGTGGATATACATATTGTCAGCTACTACGACTAGTGGCCTGGGCTAGTCGCGCATCCGTTCTTAGTTCAAGTTTGTACACGTCGCCGTCGTCAACATCGTCATTAACGCACTGTCGCGCTTTGCAACACTGGAAGTTACGAAAGTGGAATACTAGAATTCGTGACGTTTTCTAAAAGGCAGGTTATACATACATGGAAACCAGTCTATGGCTGTGGCACCTGCATCTATTTCGAAATCTCTCTTTTTTTACATTCCTATAATATATATACATATATAGATATTTTTGCGAAAAACCCTCGTTCGGATGCTCATCTATTGATTGGCTGTGAATTCGCGTTATTCTTCTTATTAATAGCGAAAATATTTTATTGAGATTTGTATCTATGACTTTTTTCATTTTTTTTTTCTTCGGTTGATTCTGTATATTTTTAATATAAATATTTTGTGCATTCAATTCAATGTGCTGTGCTTATGTAAGAGCAATTGCTTGTGGAAATTCTTAGCACATGACTCGATAAGGGGGAAGAAAAAAAGAAAATCGTCAATCAATGCCACTTCCTTTCGACTCGACTTTATTTAGGTGTGTGTTTGTGTGCTTATTATTGTTATGCTTTTCACTCTTTAGAAGCTTCATTAGTTCTCTTCCCCTTTTTGCATTGTTTCACACTTTCAAGTCTTTTACTCTTGGTCTCCTTTTCTTTTTTCCATATCAATCAATGCATCGGTTTTTAATAATAAGCAGAAGCAATCGAACTATTCATAGTTGTAAAATATTTGCGCAAATTTCATCACAAGTGCAAAGTATACGAATCGTACAGATATATGCATATATACAATATATATGTCTATATGTTTGACTACTCAGGATTGTGTTCTGATTTCGAAATCATTGGCCAATCGCATGTCTGGCTGTTGTTCCATCCATTTCAATAGAAATCTTACATGTACATACATATATATATCGGGTGTATAATTTGGGCATTTTGATTTTGATTTTCATTGACCTCAGGCTGTCGAAAGCGTCGAACAATACTCGCACAGTGAGTACATCGAGGAGCATACGACCAAAGTGGTTAAGCAGACAACAACACAGGTGAGACAAAAAACTTATGGAGAAAAGCTGAAATGCAGAAGAAGATGAAAAATATAAAAATAAAATATATATATTATATGTGAAGATTTAACAGAAGATTATGAAAACGTAAGAAATTGAAAACAAAGATTCGAAATAATTGAAGAAAAACAAGAGAATGATTTCAATTAAACGCTGGAAAATTGTAAAAAAAAAATAACAAAAATCGTTCGATAATTTAAATGTAGTCAAAGGAGACTAGTTAAACGTGTGTGAAAATATAAATTATATCAATTGCCTATTACAAAAGATTAAGTCCTTAAAACTAGGAATACATGGAAGAAACATAATTGAAGTTAAAAGAATTAATTAAATGAACAAACCTGAAAGTTTCTGAATTTTGCCTAGGTTTAAAATAATAAGAAAGAAATAGGTTCAGGCTTTAGTAATACCTTTCATCAAGTATATCTTCATGTTTTTATCGAATCGCTTATATACATATCAGAGCTGCATTCCTTATATATTTTTCCATATTTTGATATCCCCATCTGAATATTTACATATTATAGAGCGAACTGGTTAACGGAAAATCAGAAGTAACATATCGAGCTGTTGCCTTTGAGAAATTGCCACTACCCACAACAGGCGGAAACGTAACTGGTAAGTAATCTGTTTTCTCTTAATTGTTGGCAATATATATAAATATATATATGCAAATATAATGTATATATTTAAAAATTTCGTGAGAGTTTTCAAAAAAAAAAAAATTTCTTTTGAAAAGTCAAAATTCCCATTAGGAAATGTTTGCTATTTTTCATTTAAAATTTATATTTAAATTTACATTTTACGCTTTAAATTAAATGAAATTTGATTTGTTTAATCAAGAACATTTTTATAATATTTTTGCGTCATTTACGCAGTGGCTCGTATTTGCAATTTAGTGCAAGCTCTTGGCCTCTTCCATTGTGCACGAAACAAACAAAAATAGAAAGCGAATATGTCGTAAATCTTGAAAATAAAAAAAATCTCAAAAATAAACATACATGTATATATGTAAACATATATGTATAAGCATATATGAGAAGTGCTACGACACCAGGGATAAGTGACATAGCCAATGTACTCGAGAGTGGGACTGAGACTGAGGCTGACAGAATGCAGCTAAAGATGGGCGGACTGATGAACTGTCATAAGTTTGGCGGCTTATCAGGTTAATTGCTGACAGTCGGACAGCTTAATCAGACAACAACAGTGACAGCGACAATGACAGCAAATAGGAGTCTTCTAATAGGCGCTGCTTGACTAGAACATACTCAAAACTCTCTCAATATAAATAGAAATATATTTTAAAATATTTTTTATATTTTGATAATCATTATATTTATAGAGATAAAGTCTTAAAACGTATATTGGGTAAGGGAAATAGAAAATATTAGTTGACTTGATAAATCGAAACAAGACCGTACGTGAATCGTAATGGAAGTCTCTATTATTTGTAATTTTCTTCATTCTTCAGTTGACGAAATTTATTAGGATTTTCTGCATATCACAACTCTTACCATACCTAAAAATTAATCTACTATGTACTACGTATTTGCTTTACTATTTTCTATATTTTGGAATATCTGATGAGCTTTCATTTGTCTATGCAAAACACAGACCCTAACAACACAATATACCCTAAAACCCAAGTTGAAATAGATGTAGGGTATAAAAAAACAATGTCAAGAGATATTTCAGTTTGTTTATGTGTGAGATCTAAGAAATAATTTGATAAAAATGTATGTTATACTTCGTATATATCCTATACGTTGTTAGGTATGCAATGCGAATTTCTTTTGTTTATGGTTCATTGACTGCGCTCGTCTCAGCGTGAAAGTAATTAAAATTTGTGTTTTATATTTGTTAATTAGCTAAATTGATGCAGTTTTGTCGAGGGATCTACGAGTTGTAAAACGCTTGCACACGATTTTATTAAATTCTCAGCATGATTGATGAGCTGCTTTTGCATTGGGATCGCGCTTCTTTTGCAAATCAATAAATAAATATGCTATATATAAATACATAGACATATACGTATAGGAGAACATATAGAGATATATTTGTATCTGAGAGGTAGTCGCCGCCTGTTGCAAATATTTGTTCGAATTTTCACGCTTCCATGCAATTTGGCCAAAAAACAAGAAGAATTCGAAGAAAATCGAGAAGAGGCCAAAACTGGGTCTGTCGTCTACTCATTAAAGATCGTGCCGTGCACGGCGGCCACGTTTCATTTGTGGCACCGAAAATCAATAAACTGCCCACCGTTTGCTTTACGGCCAAGCCTCAAGTGTCGCCCCTGTTTGTGGCACATGTGGAACGTGCAACGCTTTAATGCTGCGCTCCATTTCGTTTGAAGATGGTTCATTGTAAATGATTCGTTTTGCCCAAATGACATTATTTGTTGCGCATTTGTCGCACTCATTATTCATAGCTCATCAGAGCGACGAGCTGTCGACCGAACCAACTTTATTCACCCACAACTTGTGGCTGAAAGTCTTAAATGGATTCTTAACTCTCTCGAGCTGCTGAAATATGAATAGCTATGAATATGAATAGCTATAAATAGAGTTAACTGCACAGAAAACTTAAATAGAATACAGTCCTACAGAAGTAAACGATTTAGTTCCGATTTGAAATTAAATTCACTCTAATAAATAGTTTTGGTTTTGGTAAAGTTTAAAGGAAGAAGAAGCTAAAGTAATAATTTAAATTCAATATACATATTTTTACCCAATGTACTAGCTGTTTCTATGTACTGATATTTATATTTATACATATTAATAAAAACTAGGCTTTACATATTTTAATCTACATAGTTTAATGTTAGTAAAAAAAGGAGGAACAAATCTAATTGTTTTTAATTTTTAATTTGTTTTATTTTTTATAAAGTACATACTTTACTATCAATATTTGCCTTAATGGAGCTTATTTGCAAATTAAACAAAATTTAGTTTTATTAAATTGATTTTAAAATTCAAAATTTGTTGACTAATTGTATTCTAAATGTTTTGCTGCACTTATTTGATTGATTTTGGCCAATTGCATTTTGATGTCAATGCCAAATATATTTAAGATTTACCAAATACAAAATCAATTACATAAGACTATACAGATATTCATATATATATATATATATATCTATATACACACATATTTATCGATACGCGTTTACACAATTAATATCGCATAGACTATAGAAAAAATCTTAAAAACCGTTTGACATAATGTTCCAAGCATTTTCGACATTCCACAATATATTTTTTTATATCTAATTTTTTGAATGTTTTATAGCTGGACATAAAAAAATATATATCGAATTTATTTTTAAACATTTTTAATAGGCAAATATTAATAAGTTTGATGTCGCCTGTGCAGCAATAAGTAATAAATTGTATTTCCTTTACAATATATACATACGAAGAGAGAGACGGAGAGAGAGAAAGGCAGAGAGCAAGGTAGATAGATATGATTTCGAAATGCATAAATTAATTTTATATGTGCAAGTTTCGAGTTCGAAATACGAAATTCGAAATGACAACTGTTAAAATGTCCCACAGAGACAAATACTAGGACATGTTCAGCTCGAATGTTTTGCCCATGTTCTCTATACACATATATGCATGCACACGCACACAGAGATACAGACACATATAAACTTGTCATATGGCAAATATTTCCAATTTATTTATTTTTTTTTATATATTTTATATATCGTTCATTGGCTCTGCGGCTGCTGCCTACTTTATAGCAGGCCTCAACATCGGCAGCCATATTTTTTGCCAGATCCATAAGTGTGTGTGTGTGGGTTTGATTTTGTGTGTGTGTTGGCTGATCTATGCTGCCAGCGTCGCTGCTTCAGCTGCTGCTGCTGCTGCTGCTGCTGTAGAGACGCATTTCTGTGCTAGGAACTGGCATGCTTTTATATATTGGCCTTAATTTCAATTTGGAACTGTCGATGTTCACTTGAAATCGGGACGTAGAGACGCGTGGACCTTTTGAGAAAGAAAACGTCGCTGGCAAATTTCAAATCGTGTCAAATACATTAATTGAGCAGCATAATTAAACAGTTCAGTGTGTGTGTGTGTGTGTGTGCGTTTCTGTTGTTTTTTGTGCGTGGACACAGGACTTGATCTTCAAAGACATTTTTTTGTAGCTTCTATTCAATTGTAATTCTAATTATATAACGCGTTTGTAATTTCCCTTTAAGCGCGTGAGTGTTCATTTCTTGTTGCCAAATCCTTCCATTTGTTTGCCCATTTTTTGCTGCTCGGCAAGGGTCAGCAAGGATATGCCCCAAAAGGAAAACAGTGTGTCTGCATATCCTTGCTGCTGCCCGCTGCTCAGCTAGAATGCGCACAACATTCGACGTGCTGTTAAAATTAAATTGTTCTAAATTTTAAGTGTCTTTATTTCAAAACCCAAAAACACGTGTTTCGAAACTCACAAAATAAAACTAAAAATCAAAAAATAAATATCAAAACGAAAATTGCCTTTACAAAATGCACTTCAGTTGGTTATCTGAAAAGCCACCCACGCCGGAAGCGACCTGGGCCGATCATTCATACTATTTTCGATCCAATTACTATAAAGTGACCGTCTCTGAGCGCGATCATCCGGAGCGTACACACGTCTACTTCAATGAGACCATCATACCAGAGAATCAAGGATTAAATGGTTCAGATTTTATGCCATTGAATTTTAAATCATCTTTTTCAATTGTTACACATCAAGGTAAAAACGCTCGAAAATTGAATACAGCCCAAATTTTCGCTAAAGAAAAATACGTAATAATAATCTCAAAGTTTTTTCAAAAATTGCACAATAAATAAATATCTTTAAAAATATAAATTTAAACTTAAAAATAATACACAAAGCCCAATAGGCAAAGAGAAAAACGTAAAAGAAAATGAGTGCAAGGGGGGGGCGCTAACCTGATGATGCGCAGTGTATATATATAATAGATAAATGAAAAATAGTTATCAACTGTATGCATCTACATCTGTCATATATATTGAATCTATAATGTATAGATACAATATAATTGAAATTATCTTGCTTTTATTTTTAATCCACAAATTTCCTTAAAAATAACTTGCCAGAAATCAATTCAAAACTTGAACTGCATAGAGATATCAATCAAAATGTGTTGCATATTCCATTCGATGGAGTTGTCAGTTGCCCTACTGAACACATACAAAAAAATCTTGTGGTTGCTTCTATATATACTTTTAAATAATTATAATTATATATATAAATATATATATGATATTTTACTATTTTGAAATTTTGCCAGGCCAAAATGACGTCCACGTATTTGCCGTCAATAAACCCAATTCCGCTGACTAAAGCCACAAAAATGTCTTTTCATTTGTGTTAATGGCCAAAATCTCACCAAATGTCTCCGCTTGAAGGCGGCGCTTGGCCACACACATCAGCATACAGAACGACCCATACCACTACATACACATGCATACATACATACACTAAGACTCTCACCCCCACATCA